TAAAGCTTTAAAATGTTAATAGTCACTGATAAACACTTTTTAAAAATTTTGATGAAACTCCAGCAGTATTAAACAGACTTAGCAGCAGTATTTGGACCAGTATATGTTTTTGCATGTTCTTCATCACCATGTAAATCCTGCTGTGACGGTGCAACTCGTGCAGTTTGTGATACTATAACTGCACGTTAGCAGTTAGCTATTCCCATACGGCTTAACAGGTTTGCAAATAAAGTGTAATCCCTCAGATGAGAATCTGTGTTGTACACAGAGAATATCTGTAGGAAAAGAATTAGTGCCAGTGTAAGGCTTTGTGGAGACACTTTTAAACTGAAACTCTTAACATGTGGCAGGCTGTGAGGCAACAATGCTAACCACCGCACCATTGTGTTGCTATATATTTTCAAATCAGCTCAACTATATATGTATAACTGAATTCGATTTTAAGTAGTAATCACTTGCCTTGGTGCAGTATATTAAGTTCAACTCACTATAATATCGTATCTAACACACCAGTTTAAGTTTACATAGCTTGTTTAAGCTAGTAAAGATTACAAATAATATTTTATTGTGCTATTTTTTACATTTTCACTAATAAGGACAAAACTACAAGAAATCAAAATCATGCAGTTGTCTTCCTAATGGAGGCAAATGTGACGATGGGGAGTAGACTACATGAACCCACTATACAATATCTCAAACAGAAGCAATCTTCAGAGTAATCTCATTACTGTCATAGTTTCTTGTAATGTTACTTTAAAAAGGTTTCACCTATTCAAATTTATTTCAATGTCTGGCGTTGTAGACTTGCCAACAGGCAAAAGTCTGTTTCTGATTTTCAAGAAGACTTGGCAAATGTTCTTTCAATTCCTTGAGGGTACAATGAAATAAGAGAACATATTTATGTTTATTTGAGAGCAACAGAAGGAAATTGTGTACTTTTTGTGTGATATAATGCATGATGCAATGTTGTATTTATTCATTGATTGTATTTACAAATGTAAATTTAGTGTCCATTTTCTAACGGTAAAGGGTGACATTAAAAAAAGTGTTAGCTGTCTAAAACGTAATTTCCTTGTCTCAGATTTTTTTGCTCCTCGAGTTTCTGTGGAAGTGAAGTAACTCTGCTGAGAGACTTTTTATTGAGCATGTGCACATTAAGTGTAATTATTAGTTTGTTTCTAATTTGAGGAAGTGAGTGTGTTACATCTGCCTTCCCAACAAATATAACTGTGAGACGCTATTACATAAATTAAATATTTCTTTCCATGTATTGTACTTTGAACTTGATCACATTTTTAATTGTTTAATTAAAAGTTATTTTACTTCATGTTTGATTTTTTTTTTTTTAACTAAATTTAATTTTAAAAAATTTCATAAATCCAATTTTTCATGGATCATTTCAGACATTTCCCTCTGATCTTTTCAGATTTATATGACTTGCAACTTCAATCATGAGTAGTTTTGCTTTTGACAATTTTTCACATTTATTCTGGTAGGATATTAAATGCTTTACGTCTTCGTTTAGAGGTCTTTAAGTATAGTTAAATAATCGCGTAAAGCCTACAGTGTATCACATGTAGATTACATCAGTAAACATAGAGTTTAGGCAATGCCAAACTTTTTTTATCCAAGTTGCAATTTGCCTGATACAGTTTATCTCACCATCTACAGGCGCAGGGACACCAGGGGCTGCATGCTACAATAACAAATATCTTAATGAGTAAAATATGTGTTTATTCTCTGAATCAAACCTCTTCCCCTCACCACTAACCCACTTCCTGAAATAGATCGGCTCCATTCACTCTCTGAAGTGTTTCAAAGAGAAAAAGTGCTTCTGGCTGCTCATGTCCTACATAATGTAATTATGTAAACCAAACGAAGAGAAAGAACCCGCACGCCATGCAATCTACCATGCAATCAATGCTACATAATCACTGGGAGGGCTATAAATGTATACCACAGTACGTGTCATGCACCCGTGTGAGTGTGCTCTTAATACCGATCAAAACGGTTTCTATATGGATAAAAGTATTCGTTTCACAGACGATTGCCTTCTTCAGACCAAAACAGCAATTTTCTGTCCGTTTAACGAGACCGGTGCATCTCTCTTTGTGAAATGCCTCTTGAAATCCTTGCTCATCATTCTGTTGTAGCCAGTAGACTGTTGCCATAATATCTCAATCTCACACACACAGACATCCCACTAATGCTCTGTATATTGCAGGCCAGGCACTACAGTTTCTACATGCATGTTTCAGAGTGCGTTACTCATATTAAAATCCAGTTAAGATCTAAATGTGGGCGGCGAATGAAAGGGGCTGAGAGGAGCACGGCTTTCTTAGGGAAAAGAGAAACATAATAGTGGTTTTGGGTGGATGAACAGCTTTGCATGTCTTATCTGTATTCCAGCATGTCTGTAACACAGCTCATTGGCTGAGCCATTAAAAAGAGCAGGTTCCTCTCTCACACAGCTGTGATGCCTCCATTGATTATATTGACTCACTTGGGGACGACACTTGTGCCACTGCAGTGTGGTTTCATTTGTAAGTGGGTATAGTATAGTACTCGTTTGCCCCTGTTTTCAATTGTTGCATTTTTAAAAGGGTGTTAGATTGGATACACGTGCATACAAAACTCCAGCATCATAACCTATTGGTGCCCTTAAAGCCAGGGGCATTTTTTCCTCAGCTAAGCCTGTCAGGTCGATCAAGGCGCACATGAAGTGAAGTGAAAGCATTTTCTCACTGTTGAGCCCTCTTTTTGACACATGTTCACATAACAGATCGTGCCAGAGCCTCACCTCCTTTACACGCACTCATTTTAGTTTTATGTTTTTTCCTTTTTTTAGATGACATGTGAGGAGGGTATCAAATTGATAATTCTGTATTGCATGATGATTCACTGCAGTTTCTCTAATTCCTGCTAATGCTGACTGGAAATATCTAATTTTTGTCTTTTTCCATAGCTAAATGTCATTTCTTCTGATGTGTTTTGTCAGTTTTATGACTTCAGTTTCATTTAAAAGCTATTTAGCTCTGGCTTATTGATGCAGTATGAAAGAATGGGAAAATGGGAAGTGGTATGAATTTAAATAATTTAAAACATACTGGCTGATACAATTTGTTCGAGTCTAATACGTCAGCATTTTGTGGTTGTTTCGCACTCTAGTAATCGGAGGATTTTAGTTGCAACAACAATTTGAGACATCGTCTTCTCACCTTGCAAGATGTCTGGTGGTATTCATGAGATATGGTGACAGAAAACTGTTGACAGCTGTGGCTGAGTTGAGGAAACTGTGAGAGTGTTGTTAACTGGTTTACAGAAATAAGAACTCAACTACCG